CCGGCAAAAAAAAAACTTTTAAAAAAAAAAAAAAAAAAAAAAAGAGGCGTACGCTGAAGTGCGCGATTTTCCTATTTTATTAAAAAAAAAAAAGACAACTGTACAGGTTTTTTCTCCCAGCTCCCGGGTGTGACACGTTACGCACTAGCCCTAGATGAGTATATATACATATACACACATGCACACAAACCTACCTCGGTAAAACTACTGAAATCCAAAACCCACTGCACTGTGCCTTGCTGCCCACTCCCCCCACCCATCTACCGCTACTTAGAAAAAGACTCAAAGGAAAAAGCCGGAAGGCTTTTCAAAGGCTGGTGGTGGGGCTGCAGTCCCACCAGACCAAGCCAAGCCACCCCTTGGTACAGGAGGAACAACAAAAAATAAGGGGGGGGAGTCCTCCAAGGACACAACCCATTAATTGTGTGGAAAAACCCCAATTTCAAGAGGGCACACTGAGGCACTTGGCTGGCTGACTCCCCACCCTTCCTCCAAAGTTTCCACTCCCTTTCAACAGAGAGGTTGCCCAAGCCCTAGAGAAATGCCCCCCAACCCAGAGAGAAGGTACAGCTGCCCCCAACCACGGTCACTTGGATCCCCTTCCTCTTCCCAAAGACAATAGGGAGGCCACAAGGCAGACTAAGAGAAGTGAGAAGGAATGGGTCAAGCCCCCCCTGCTCTGCTCACACTGGAGGCAGAAATCAGCCCAGACAGGTTTTTTCCCACCTCCCTCCTCTCCCCCCCCCAGCCCAAGGTTCTGCTTCTCTCACCGGGGTGCCCAATTTAAAGGAAGCTCACTTACAGAATCTCTTACAAACCCTAAGCTTCCTGGGCTCCCTCTCTCCTGGCCAGAACAGTCTTGATCTGTTCCCTCCTCCCCATCCACTTTCGTGGCAAACAAATCATTAAACAACCCCCACACACAAGCCCCCCCAGATCCCTAAACCCATAGAGATTAATAGCAAATCGACAAAATGAAACGTAAGTACATCCTCATCGTTACAGAGATGATTGGTTGTTGCCGTTCTTGCACAACTGGTTAAGAAAAAAATAAAAAGGAATCATCCCACAATTTCTGAGGAATCCAAATTCTGTCTTTGAAATTCAGAATAGAAAGGGTTAGGGGTTGCAGATGAGAATCAGGGGTGGGGAAAGGTATTTACAGAAAACAGACAGGAAGGAGCGTCCACTAGGAAAGCCTTATCACTTCTTCTTGCCCGCCCTCTTGGCGCTGGACTTTGCTTTGGGCTTCACAGGTTTGGCCTTCTTGGGCTTGGAAGTCTTGACTGGCTTAGCCTTGACAGTCTTGGGCTTTTTGGCTTTCCTGGGCGTGGCAGCCGGCTTCTTCTTGGCCTTCTTGACTGGGGCGGCTTTGGGTTTCTTGCTTGGAGCTTTGGAGGCAGCCTTCTTCGGCTTGGCTGCCTTTTTTGGCGTGGCCACCTTCTTGACTTCCTTCTTGGTCTTCTTGAAGGCCACTGACCTTTTGGGCTCATCGCTCTTGGCCAGCCGGAAGGACCCCGAGGCACCCACCCCTTTGGTCTGCTTGAGGACCCCGGTGGTGACCAGGCGCTTGATGGACAACTTGATCTGCGAGTCGGCGTTCTCACCCACCTTGTAGTGGCTCTTGATGTACTTCTGGATGGACTGGCGCGAGGAGCCCGCGCGGTTCTTCTCGGCCTGGATGGCAGCCACGATCATGTCCGAGTACTTGGGGTGGTCTGTGGACTTCTTGGAGGCCTTGGCCCGTTTGGGCTTGGCCGCAGGGGCGGACGTGGAGTTCTCGGTCATGGTCACCTGCCTGGTCCTGCTGCCGAAGGCGCCTTCCCGAGGGCCAGCCCCGGTGGGAGGCTGAGCGAAGTCCGACGCGGCGTGTGCTCTCGGGCGGCCGACTGACAGGCCGGCGCGGAGTCCGGC